CTATAAGCTTAATGTTGATCGTAAGAAAAGATTTAAAGAAATTGAAGTTGGAGGTTTTGCAAATGGTACGGATTCGTCCAGACTCCAGAGAGGTTCCCTCATGGAGCCGTTAAAAAGTTGCATGCTAGGAGTGTAGGGCCTTTTAAGATAATTTTGAAAATAAAATAATGATACTTATGTGCTAGACATTCCCGAAGATTTTAATATAAATCATATGTTTAATATTGAAGATTCAATAACCTTTGAGGGAGTTTAACCCTATTAATCCACTACATGATGAGTCTTGTGTGAACCCACCCAGTGAGATCCGCAACCTACCTCCACTCCCCAATTTACCTCATCTACCTAATGCGGAGAAGGTTGAAGCTATACTTGACGATGAAATCATTTCCACGAAAGATGGTGGGCGCCAAAGTTACTTGGTATGTTGGGACTTGGGAAGGAAAGCCGGTAACAGAAGACACGTGGATTGATCGAGATGAGCTGCAGAGGATATACCATGACCTTCTAGAGTGGTACAAGAGCTCCAGACACATTTATTCGACGGGGTCGAGCTTTCTCCCACCTGAGGAGAATGATGAGGACATCTGCTAGAGATTCAAACATGCGTATCGTCGGAAGAATCGTAAATCGATGGCTACGATTCAGAGTCTGTATTTTTGATGTATTTTCTATTATATGTATTATGTTGTTGCATTTGAGTTTTTCCATTTTACCCCTACGGAGAATTGAGTCTATGTTGTAGCCCGATGGCACTTTAGTCTTTTCGATTTTTCTTTCATTTAGGTCTATTTATAGGAGGTCTATTGCATTGTATAGGATGATGATGATGATGAATGAAAATTTCACTTTTCTTGCTTGATCTGTTTGTGAGTTCTTGAGAGGAGAATTCTTAAGTGAGGGTGATAACAATACTCGTCAACCTTGGTATATTCCTAGGTTCGCGGTTCGTCTTCTTTTTCCCTTACATCCCACCCCCTTCATTCCCCATAGTACCCATTTAAGTCGCATTAACTCCATTGGGGACCACATACATTGAATCTAGACATATTCTCCCCTCCTATGGCCGGCCCCTCCTCCCTTGGATTTTCTCTCTCTAATTAAACCCTCACCCCAATTAATATTCCTTAATTCTCTCATAAAGCTGCCGCCCCCCATTAGCCCTAATTTTGGGATTAATTTGAATTCAAATTACCCTCACCCCCTTTAGAAAATCTGAAATAAAATTCAAAATTTTCTAATTTATGCTTCCCTCCACTAAACCCAAAAGAACCCCACCACAATCCTAGTTCAAGCCGACACCTCCCGCCCCCGCGCCCCCTCAACCCTCTTCCCTCCTTCTAGTCATTGGTGTATGGCCGATCTTGAGATCGATCACGGCTTTGTTTACAACGCCCAATGAGAGATAGATATCTTCAGGTCTCCTTTCTACGAACCGGATTGGGAGTATGACGATTCGGTGGAAAGTTACGTCAACCGAATCATCTATTACCTCGCCGAGACGATCAAGCTTCAACAACCTAGAGTACCGTGGACTCTCCTCGGACAACCCGCTCCTACTCCACCGCCGACGACCTTCTCTTGGATCAAAGCCGTTTGTGTTGCAACCATCTTAGTGGCGTCGTTTAGTGTGTTGAAAGCTTCTCTCCGCTAAAACCCTAGATTGAGTGTGAGTGAGAACGGTAACTCTTGGTGAACTTTCTAAATATTAAACTTGGGATTTTAATTATGGCATATCTAGTAGTATTGTGATAATTTTGAATTGTCTTATCATGTTCTTATCTCTTAGTTTTGCAACTGCAAGCCAAGACAAATCTACTAATTAAGAATTCTTATAATCATGCCTTATGACTTATTAAACTTAAAGTAGCACGCTTCGTAATGCTTTTATTAATTCTGTACAATTCTTGGTGTGTTTCACATCAAGAAAACAATGGTATGCTTATTAATAATTTTCATAAAAGTTGATATTTTGGAATATTATTATCATTAAAAAGTATGTCATTATATTCTACTCGTTGAATGAAACAAATTGTTGTATATAAGTATATGCTAATTTGTAATGATGTTGAGGTTTTTGAATAAAATTCTTAAAGTTAAAAAAATGTATTATTGTACTAATTTAAAGTTCAATGTAGCTAGACATTTATTCCATGGCTGCAGGCACTTTAGACGGCATGCAATTGTGAAAAGCTGGGTTAATAAAATAAATAAATATTTACTTAGGATAACTTAATATACATACAGCCGATTGAGGGGGGTTCTTTAGTTTTCACACTACAAGTGTGAACAATCATGGCAGGGAGGGTGAGCAAATAGAAGCTGGAGATGTTGGAGCATGTGCTGGCCAAGCCTTGGTGTAAGGAATTTGAATTAAAAAAAAGTTATATAATGAAAGAAGAGAAGAGCAGAGAAGAAAAAGAAGACATAAAGGGAAAAGGTCAAAAATTTTGTAGCTTATTTATAAATTTACTATTAAAATTTTTTTGTTTAAATGTGTCAGTTGATATTTTAGCATATTCGTAATGTGAGGAGAATTAATATATGGAGTTGTGTATATTATGTAAAAATTGAAAGGTATTGTAGTTGTGAATTGATATAATTGTGTGAGCCCAAAAGTAGATAACATAAATAAATAATTAATGATTTGTGTGGTTGTAGATGCCTATACACACAAACAGACGCAACGTGGAGATAAAATATGCAAGTTGAATTTTTTTATATAAATATATATGTGCATTGACTTTAATAGTAGTGTACCATAAGTAAATTAGTTTGAACTGCATTACATAATTATTTCGTATATTATTATTTGGGAGGTGAAAATATTTACATGTTGTTATATGTTATTATATTAAATTAAGACAGATGAATTATCCAGATAAACTCACTTAAACGTTGATATATCGTACAATCATACTGATTTACTTGAATATCTATACTTATACCTAGTTAAAGAACAGGTAACATATATAGAAAAAAACAATAATAACATAAATCTGATAAATTGTCATGTTAAGTGATAGGAGGGTGAGCCTAATAGAGGATACATATGGGAAAGCCTATGAGATATAATATGAAACTTACGGGCTATAGAGGCAGTGTTACCCAGGAGCCCACGATCATAGACCTAGACATCCTAACATGACACCCCCTAAGGCTGATAAGAGAAAATTATGAAATGAACAAAAATTATAACTATGATTGTATATTGTGATTATTTGATTACATATTTTATACTATTAACTTTAATGCATAGTGATATTATCGATAATTATATAACATGAAATGAATGAGTAATTCAAGTGAGTCTAGTGTTGTCATATTGCAGTTTCTATATTACATACCCTGTATTTTCCTTATTACAATTATTATTGCATATCATATACATTAATTATTATAGTTATTATAGTCTCGAGCTGTTTATATGTGTTTCTTATTCACACATTAAAGTATTTTCCCATGCTCATATTATTAATTCTTTCTTACACTGAATATCGCATTAGAGTTGCATATCTTTATGGTCGTCGTAGCTCACCAGATCATCATTCTGACTGTTTTAACTAGAAAGAGGAAGGACAAAGTTGAACCGGATTAGTATCAGGTTCAATTGTTATTTTAAGTTTAATTTTGCCTTTGTAAAAAAGGCTTAGATTGAGGTCAGTGATCTGTTAATGGTCCATATTTTAGTTTTTGTCTATAGTTACTTTGTACATGAAAATGTATAGAAATAAATTTTGGACCACTTCTACCTTTGCTTAATGTTTCAGGACATAATATCTTTTATAATGCTTCACCTTGATGGGCATGAATTGTTTTATAGTGTAGGGGGATAGCATTAAGGTTTTCTGGTAGCTCCTTTGTTGCATCCTATGCAGCCTGCTAGGAGTAGGGTCAGCGTGGGGTGTGACATCCATAGTCCTAACTCTAATCTGAATCACTCAACCACCCCCTTCAGATACATGAATCATAACCGTAGCTAGCCTCCGTCCACACCAAAAGGACCACCTCTTTTCTTCCACTTCAACATAAGTTCTAACTCCTCAAATATCCTACACAACACCAACCATTTTGTAGTGTCTACTATAAATACCCACATCAATAATTTAATATAAAGTCCCCTGCCCGTGCAACTCTCAATGAGTATTATTGCTAGAGATGTATCAAATACATAAGCGAAGGCATGAATAATTTTGTCCATATTCATTTCTTTAGAACATTTTAACCTACTGTGATGATAGTCCCCTGGAATACATGCTGGATGTGAATAAACACGCAATTTCAATGAATCTGCAGCATGCGAAACATCAATGTTAGTTTGCTAATCTAGTCTATTGCCATAATAACTAAAACTTTGAATCTATGGCATTAGCAGGATAAATAGACCTAAAGATGCGTAATTCGTATTCATTGACCAACTGGAGAAATGAGACAATTCATTGTTAATATGAATTTTTTCCATTTATTTCTTCTAAAATAGTGCTTGAGGTTTTTCACTTTATATATTTTATTTATCTTATGGGGGAACACTTGACCGGCCGGGTTTAAGTGGCACTTTATCTAAATAAAATATAGTTCAGCCTGTAAATAACTCCAAAAAACTCATAAACCTATATTATTTTCACTAATTTATCAGAAAATTTCAACACTTTCTTCATAAATAAAGAGCGAGGAAATCTTTAAGCCCCACCTTCTATCAGTGAAGTGATTCAGAGAAGAAATATCAACAAACCAAGGGAAGCTGCCACTACATATTCATAAGGATATCAGAAGGGAAAATCGCACTTCTATGATGTCACAAACTGTGACAAGTTAAATTCATGAGTTCCCACAAGCTTAACAAAAAACTAAGAATTTTTCAAATAACTAACGAGCATATGTCTGATGGTTTTGGTACTCTCGAAAGAGCCCGTCCTTCTTCGTAATTGTGCCCGTTCCGCCCAAAACCCTAGACTTGAAACGTGCCAAAGGAGATTGAAGGAGAAGGCCAAAAGAAATACCGGGAGACGACATCGTCGATAAAGCTTCACAATATCGCAGACAACGGATTCCAAGCGCGAACCCTTCGTGCAGACGAACCGATCCCGTGAAATGGTAATACTTTTTTTTTTTCTGAGATTTAGTTGCATAACACTTATACTATTCTATTTACATATTTAACATCTAAAACTTTAATATTACATACATATCAATGAAATAGTAATACAATACATTTATTTGAATATAAGTATAAAATAAAAATAGGTGATTCATTTTTTAATTTAAATTAATGTAAAATAAATATTATGTAAAGCTCAAGTATGATGGTGATAAATCATCTGCATGGTAATAGTCTATGATTGTTGCGGCGAGCGACAATGGCCAGCAGAGGTAGGTGGTGGTGCTAGCCAACAGTGGTGCTCAATGGTAAGCGACGGAGGTGATGGTTAACGTTGAAAAAGGTAGAGAATTTGCAATGTAATTGAAAAATAATCAAATCTAAAGAAGTTTTCTATATCATAACTGAACTAAATGGAGCATTTCAAACACTTTAGAATTTTAGTCTATATTATTTTACTTCATATCAATCACCGATATTTTCAAAAATCTTGCATTTAGAATAATTAACATCTCTTTTACTTCAAATCAAACAACCCCTAAATACACCGGGATTTATATATATAACATTCAATATTTTCTCCTTTATATATAGAACAACTTCATTTTAATATTTAATAAAATCCTCCACCACAATGAGAGAAGAAGTTGTGATAGATCACAACAACGATAACGAGGCCACTATGGGTTTTGCTGGGGATATACTAGATCGAATGAGAGCAAAGGTGGTGATGAGTCTAATGGCGTGTGAAGGTAGTTATCAGAACAATGAGATCTCACTAAGAATGACATGACAAGATTGACAAGATCGATAGTGTGCCGAGGTTGGCAAGGTGGAGATAGATAAGCAACATGCAAAGCTTGTTGATGAAGAAGCCATAATGGGATTTTGACGATGTGTGTAGTTTTTACAAGATAAGTGTACTTTGTATGGTTGTTTAAAACTAATTATTTTGTGAATAATTATTATAGTTTAGGATTGTCAGAGTCATCATATTCATACTCATCGGAGACTGAAGTTGAGAAGAGGGTAACAAATTTATGTCTCATGGCCAAAAATAGCTCTGATGACTATGACAATGACCAGGTATGTGATATATCTTATGATGATTTATTTTTTATTTCATAATAATTACATGATATTTATAGAAATTTAAAAAGCAACATTCACATATTAAAAAACAGCATTTTATATTGCAAGAAGAGCATACCAATCTAATTAATAATTACACAAATTTAAAGATTGATATTATTGCATTACATGAAAAGCATTATAACTTTAAAAAGTAGTATATTGCATTACAAGAGAAACATTTAAAGAATTAGAGAGATGCATTGCATTTGCAAGAAGATTAACAAGTAGTAAAATTAGAGGTAAAATATAAAAGTACAAATGAAATTTTAATAAATAAAACAACAACATTTAATTAGGGTCTACACATAGTGAAAAGTCATACATTAGAACACAACATGCTCATCATCTTTCAAAAGAATACATCACTCTTCATATAGATTAATGCATCCATTTTCAAGAGTGAAATGTTATTGTAGTGGCATATTAGGGCATATCGCACACATTTGCACACACAGAAGTAGAGTAATGTTTACTTCTTAAAGTCAACTATTGATGAGTCATGATTGTTACATAGGAGACTATAATATACAAGCATGACGACTCTTATAAAAATCACTTAGATATAATTGGTTAGAGACACTCCTAAGCTAGAATTGTTCAATGAATAACTTTGTAATGCTTGTCAATTAGCGAAGCAAACTAAATACTTACTCCGTTCCATTAAGGATGTAGTAATCACTAGCCCTTCAAAAGTACTTCATGTGGATTCATTTGGAACTATTAGTACAATAAATCTATGAGGGAAATCATTTAGATATGTGTTTGTTGATGATTATTTTATATTCACTTGAGTTAAATTTCTTGCAAATAAAAGTAGTTCATTTAAAGAATTTAGAACATTCTTAATTTGGATTCAGTAGAAAATAGGTCATTCATTTACCATAATTTATAATGATCACAAAGGTGAATTTAAGAATGAAAATTTTGAATTATTTTGTCAAGAGTCAGGGATACATCATAATTTTTCAGCCCCTAAAATCCCACAATAAAATGGTATAGCTGAAATAAAAAATAGGACACTGGCAGAGGCTGCTAAAGTAATACTTAATGAGTATAGCGTCACAACCTAACTTAATATGATCTACATATACAAGTTAGTTCACATTGGATGGTGACAAACCAGAGCAGAAACTGCATAAACAAAAATCATTTATTTGAAGAAATATTATATTTCTTTTCAAATAATAGGCACCATAGCTTCTAATTTTTCTACTATGCATGAATTTGCTTATCCATAATTTTTTTCTTTCTATTTATTCACAAAAGTGTATATTACAGATTCTAGCTATCACAACCCTCGACAATAGATTGACATAGAGCAGGAAATATATAAATGTTAGGACTGTTAGAAATCTAAAAAAAGTAGGAAATGTACATATACACCAGTTAGACAAAAAAAATCAGCCTTATCTACTCAATTGACCATTTACCCCTGCCCTAACCTGAAAATAAAATGCAGAATCAAAATGAGCTAACACGGCTCAACATATTATATTACCCAAATCATTTCATAATAATTTCAAAACCAATAACTTAAAATAAAGTAGTTATTCTAAGCTTGATAGCAGACTTATTCTATCCAATAACTTTTATTTATATTTTTTATTCTAATCAATGCATTAACTTCATGGAATGCTTAAATTATAGTTTAGGATATTTTTACTTAGTTCATAGCCTCTTGGGGAAGTCCATGCTGAAGTTCAGGAAGCGATCGCACCTCGTAATTATTCAAAAATTATAATTTGCATCACAACAATGAAGAATTCTTAAACACAGTTTTTTGGATTCCGTGAGCTAGGACATCAAAAAATATGGGCAATTGATATGCCATCAAACATCGTCTTGATCCAGCATAAATATCAAGGCATATCTTAGTTGGCAACTTCTAAAGTTAAATTCAGGATCATTCAAACACCAATTTCAATAAACTTACAATCAAATTGAAAGTATTCGTAAGACGAACCCAACAACACCAAAATTAACCAAATTCGAGGCCAAATGGGCTAAAATCAAGGGATTAAAACATATAAAAAAATTATAGTATTAATTGGATGACCAAATAATATCCAAATATGGCATGCTTATAGTCGAATCGAGTGGGTCAATGAGAACAATCTAAGAAGCCTAAGATCGTTTAATTCTGACATTATTAAGGAACTGAAATGTTGAATAAATGATCCATAATTATGGAAATAAGTGTGGGTCATCAGATGGACCACTCTGAATTTACCTAGATCTTCTCTATATTTATAATGAATGTCACTCTCAAAATCTCACTACAGGAAAAACGCCGAAATTCGGCGGTTACGCTAGTTTAACCGGCGGTTTTATGTATTACCGACGGCTTTACGGCGGTTTTACCGCAGCCGGAAAAAAATGGCGTAGGAAACTTCTACCGGCAGTTTTTTACAGGCGGTTTATGTTGGCGGCGATTTTCAGGCGGTATATACCGCCGGTGAAAACCGGATTTGGAACCGGCAGTTTGCCGGCCGTTAAACCGCAGGTTATCTGACCGACGGCTGACCGGCGGTCAAATTACCGACCGTCTTCCGGCGGTTTAGGAGGGCGTCGTTTGTTTCTTAAACCACCGGCAAGCGCCGGTAGACCGCCGGTAATAGCCATTTTTCTTGTAGTGTCTATAAATAGATATCATCTTTCACTTGAAAGGCACTTGGACTTTTGAAGGCTTAAACCATTGGCTAGAGATTCAAGAGAGCTCTGAGCATTGAAGCATCTTTGAGCTTTATCCCAGCACCATGACCAGCGAACCCTCACCACTAGGTTGTCGTTGTTGGACCTCTATATGACCATCACCATCGAACCTCTATTAGATAGCCATCGCTAGGCCTTCGTCTAACCTCCATGGCTAATCGACTATAATCCCTCCGACCACTGTCTCCCACCAACTACGATCCCTCCAACCATTATCGTCCGTTGACTATGGTCCCTCTGAGCAGCGTGCCCGCCTACTATGGTCCCTTCGACCACCGGGCCTACATACTACTATCCCTCCAATCACTTTCGCCCGTTAACTATGGTCCCTCAATCTAGCCACCGTCACTAGCTAACCACAAACCCTATGACCTTTATCCTCGATAATAATCCCCTCATCCTCAATCGCTAGACTACAATCACTTTGATCTCTGTCACCCAGCTATGGTCACTCCGACCTCTGTTGCCCGACTACAATCCTACCGACTAAATAAACAAGCCAACATTATTTTGAGAATAACTCTCATATCATTGGATTCTTCTAACTCCCACCATATAACGTACTATATATGATGTATATTTGCTACATTGAGCCAATGCCTTCCCCCCAAACAAGGACATTATTTGTAATTGATTACAAACACTAATATAATCATTTTAACTAGGCCATATCCCATGAATTTATTGAGGCAATTCTGACTTGTTCATTGGGAACTGATCTAGCTCTTGAGATATATGACATTCTGAATCATTCTCCTAATCTTCTCTGCTATAATCTACAATGGGTGTCTCCCTCTCTGCTACTCCTGAACCAAAGACTATATAACTCGAGTGCCAATAATTTCTCTTTACTATCAAGACCATACTTAACCTCTACTCTAACTAATTATATGCTTCCAGTACTCTTTCTTTTTCTTTTTCTTTTTCTTTCCGTGGATCTACGAAAAGAAAAAGAAGGGAAAGTCTCCCTCCCAACATTCCTATAGGTGAGAAGGAGCCCGCCTTTATCTGACTTTCTTTCTCTTGGTATCGTGTTCATATTTTTGTATCGAATGATCCCGGCCAGTTACTTTGTCTATATAATGTATACAGCTCTAGTTTCTATTTGGGCTGGCTTGATGGCTCAAAATGAATTAGCGATTTTTGATCCCTTTGACCCTGTTCTTGATCTG